TATATATATATATATACACACACACATACACACATCAGTATAAACGATAAGAAACATGCACCAGTTTTAATGCACTTCAAGAGGCTCAACAGTGTTCTTAAGGTTGATATATATAAATATATAATGTATTATTATTATTAACGAAAAAAATATTTAGACAAAATCTTAATTATATTTCTTTCCATCATAAAAAGTGAGTGTAAGAGTAATACTTTAGATACTACACATACACTAATCACCACATTCATAAAGTCAGGTATTATCCATGAGATAAAGTCATACACAAATAAAAACATTTTAAATAAAGTTGAGGGTTACTATAAGGTTTTATTTTCTCCGTTACAGTAACTTATGCTACTTGTTTGTATAAATGTTTTTTTCAAACAGATTCATGCTAGATTTTGAAATCTGCTTCTTCCTCAAATCTTTCCATAAGACCTGGTCAAAGAGCACTTCTCATGACCTGGTACATTCAAACTTTACTTGAGCAACTTTATTGTTGATGTATGGTAATAAATTTGGTAGTTTATAATTCAAATGTTTATGTTATCCAAGTTTTAACTTCTTACTTTCAAAACAAGATACTTAAAATATCTCAAACTTCATTTTTCTATAATACATTAAGTGTCTGTGCTCTGATTTTTCCCACTTAAGAATTTTCAAACTTCTAAAATAGACTATTGCAGTTTACAAACAATTAGAAACATAAACTATACATAATTACAAGTAAAACTGTTTGCTAATTAACCTTATGTGGCTGATGGATGTTTTTATTTCCAATAGAATGAGTGGATTATTGTCTACATAAACATTACAATTCTACATTCAGTTTTCCTGCCATTATCCTTTAGCTGACAAGAATTACTTGGTTTGTGTAGCTCAGATTTAATGCTCTTAATAGTAATTGAATTTTTTTTTACCTATTTATAGCTTACTTAAAAAGCTGAATAAATTACAGTAGTTTTGGGACATTCTCTTCTAGTGCTTAATATATTTTGTGTCTTCTTAAGTGTATATTTTAAAGCTACATGAATCTTTTGGACACCCAAATTTGTGTAACTCAATGAGGCTTAGGGGGAAACAAATATCTTTACTTGAGTTCAAACAGCTCGAGTACCCTGAGAACTAGAAATTCTTGTTTTTTTTATATGTTTTTTAATCCATTATTATATATTGTTTAACAAAAGTAACTGAAATGTAAAAACTATCAACTTCTCAGCTGAGCCTAACAAAAAACTTTGGTAAAATAAAACATCTAAAATTACACTAGCTCGAGTGCTGATGTGAAATATTAAAATAGATCACACGCTATTTACATTAGTTCTACAGGAAACAGCTAGTGGGATCTCACTGTGATAAATTGCTTTTGAGGCAGGGATTACTGCTCCGTTGGTACAAAGAACAACTATAAAACCACAAAATTAAAAAAACGTGTGAAAAAGGTTAACAATTTAAACTGTTAAAATAAATAATATAAAACATTATGATCAATACTGCAGTCAGTTCAGAGGAAAAAAATGATATTATTCATTTTATTTCATATTTTTCATATTTGCATTTCACTGTACATGGACAATTACTTTACAATTAGCGCTAGGGTAGAGAAAATAACAGATACAATATAAAGTTTGACCTAAAACAAACAAACTGATATTTATTTGAGGTTCTAGAGGTTAATTCACATGAAATATGCAAATTATAAAATGAAAAGAAGTAGTTATATTCCTAGCAAGCAAATTACCTTTCAGTTGGACTGACTCCTTAAAGCTTCATTAATTCACAGGTAAACTCTTAGTACAAATATTTTATTAAAATATCCCTTTTTGTGTGTGTGTGTGTGTGTGTGTGTGTACAAACTTGATATTTACTAAAAGCCTGCCATATTTTTGAATTGACTAACTGTATTTTCACAAGTATAGATTCACAGTTCCAAGGTTGATTAATCAACCAATTTAATTCTGATAGGGTTAAGTAACCCATTATTAATTCAGTTAAAGCAAAAAAACTCTTCCAATTTTTAAATACCTGGTTTTCCACCCCAAATGCTATCTTTTTCTCTTGGTCCTAGAAGTTGAAACACAGGAAATGTCAACTGTGTTTTCCAGTTTTCCACTGAATTTTCCACTTCTTTTTCCAGATTCCTAGGTGTTGCTTTCAGTCTTATCTTCAAAAAGATTTTAATACTCAGAAAAATTGTCATTACATTATAAAACCTGAAAACACAACTTTCTTTGCCTGACTATCAGCATCTCTCATAGTATTTGCATGTAAAAAATAAATGTTTCCTCTAAAATATATAAAAAATGCTTATAGTAGATACATTTAAGCCTAAATAAAACATAGGCAAAAATGACAAAAAGAGGTAGAAATTAAAATACACTTTTTTACACATTTGAAAGTTTTTATATATGTCAAACAACCAAATATGTACATCAATGTACATATGTTACTATATGAAAACAGCAACCTAAGATATAAGATTCACATAAAAAGTTTTCCAACAGACAATCATCATTATCTGTACATCCATCCAAATACATCTTTGTTTGTTGTTAAACACAAAGCCACATACGACAGACAATCTGTGTTCTCTCCACCACAGGTATTAAAACCAAATTTTTAGTGTTATAAGCCATCAGACCTGCTGCTGGGAGGGGAGGTCAGACACATTTATTGAAAGAGTAGAATGTAGAAGTGTCACTAAGTTATAGATTAGCAGAATAGTCTTATTTTGACCTTGCGGGATGTAGCATTCCCAAGAGTCCATGCATACAAGGCCAAATACCCCAAACAAAATTTATCTTTAGCTATTATGAATACTATTCTCAGAATACAATTTTATTTTCCATTAATTTTATGAGAAACTACATTACTTGCTACAAAACGTTAGCCTAATGGGGTAAAGGTAAAACACAAATTGATAAGTATATAGATTTGACTTTGCTTAGCTGATGAGAAAAAGATATGGCCCATTTCCAAATAGGTCTAGTTATGCTACCATATACCAGTGTCCTAAATGTGCGATTCTGAACATTCATCACAGCTAAGAAAGAGTAAGATGATAGCCAATAGTTTTCTATGCTATCAGGAATGCAAGTGGCTGCAAAACTGCACACGTGAATTCAAACCTGTCCTCTACAAATGCTATATTGATGACACTTTCTTGCTGTTTCGACAATCAAACCACGTTTCCAAGTTCCTTTTTTACCTTAATTCCCAACACCCCAATATCAAGTTCACATCGAACTCAAGGAAAATGATTCTTTACCGTTCCTAGATGTCAGGATTACCAAAGTAGGTAAACACTTTTCTACCTCTGTTTATCATAAAACTCTTACTGGCCTCTACACCAATTTCAGTAGTTTTGTCCCCAACTTCTTCAAACATAATCTGGTTATATCACTGTTAAACAGAATTTTTAATATTTATTCTAATTTATTTTACACGAAAAAATTACCCTTGTACATAAACACGTTAAATAATGGCTGTCCGACTGATTTTCTAATGAAAATTACATGCAGTTTGCTAAACAACAAATTCCAAACACCAGCCAATGTACACACCATCCCCAAATTTTCCTTCATTATCTCCCTTCCTTTTATGGGTTCGCAATCCCTACCAATTAAAAAAAACAACTATCATCCTTAATAAAAAAACTTCTTTCCTCAAATTCAGCTTAGAATAATATACAGACCTAGCCTCCGCATTAAACACTTATTTCAGTACAAAGATCAAGTACTTAAACTTCTACGTTCATGGCTTGTGTATAAATATATGTGTAGCGACTGTAAGGTCACATACATTGGCAAAATGAAATGCCACTTAAAAACTAGAGTCTGTGAACATTTAGGAGTATCTAACGGAACCAAACATCCACTACTTAAACTCAGCCACTCATCAATTCGTTCACATTCTGAAATCACTAGTCACAATATTTCATTTAACAATTTTTCTATCATCGCCACAGGATCTTCAGACCTTGACCTCTACATTAAAGAAAGTCTACTCATAGCTAAAGACTGCCCGACCCTCAACAACTCACAAAACTCTTTTGATATAAAATTGTTCTAAATTTTCACTCTAACTTAGTTGTTGTGTAACATATATAAACATTGTTTCATCCGTCCATTTACCGCTTTTCTTAATAACTAAGTAAACTAATGATTATGTTATTATATTATATTTAACCATCTTTGTAACACAATTTTCAGATTTCGTTGAAGATGGAATAAGTCATTCTGAAACGTTTCAACCTTGGAAATAAAATATTTTATGTTTTGTCAAACATTTTCATCTTCATTATTAACATGTTTAGCTGCCTGACAGAGCAAGTTTTCAAAACATGCTTACCCACCCAGAAATTAAACTCACCTTCAATGATCATGTTTCTCCATGAGTGTCACCATTTTGTTTTGTAAAATGCCTGCTACGAGCTTGACTAAGAGATGTTAAACTGTTATACAGTTGTTACTGTAGGAGACAGGGGTGACATCTGAATATACTCAAGTCCAGGTAAGTGTGGAAATCTGTTATTTTAAGTTTTATACAGTTAAGCAGATTTATTGTTTATATTGTTTTGAATCATTCATCAAATGAGTGATATGTTAGTGACTTAAAATTACTGATACAATATAGGATTACATACCACAATATGTAGTACCAATAATACTTTTTCTTATTATGACACAGAGATCGCTGGTAAGTAAGGCAAGTTAGTGGTTTTGTTCTAAACACTAAATTAAGCTATTTTTCTAAACAAAATATATCAAACCTTACTGTTTTTGAAATAGTATACATAAACTCTGATTTACACTATTAATTCTTTGTTTTTGCTGTGAAGTATAACATTGCAGTTGCCAAAAATGTCGATCATTGTTAACTCGGATATTTATTCATTACCTTTCTTGTCTGTTACAGCTATGTTCTTTGAAGCTGTTTTGTTTAGGTAGATGTTATACATCATGCATGTGCACTGTAAAAACATTTACCATGCTTTGAGGACTTTTTTCTAGAAGTTGGTTCTCTGCTCTGTCACTATTCTAAGTATCAATGTGTACATGAAATAGTATTTGTTGGTTGACATAAATCAGAAGGATCCTGAGTCAGTTTTAACTTATTACAGAATGTACTTCAAAATAAATTAATCAAAATGTGATTTACCCAAACTAACAAAAGTATTTAGTTAAAACTCTTCCTTCACCAAGTTTGGCAACTTACAAACAATGTTTCATAAACACGTATAATTCACCTAACTATATTTAGATTTATGCATTTACAGAAACAGTTCGTCATCAATCAGTGTCCAAATGCGACACATCTGAAAACCACTATCGTAACCTGATAATTCTAATAAATGAGCCAGCATATATCACCACCTTGATCTTAATAAAAGAAACATTTCCCACCAAAAATAATTATCAGTTTTTAAACCTTAAATGCTAAAAGTTTCCTTATTATAAAGAATTAACACATGCTCATATGAATGGTCTGCTTTTTGAGGATCATTTACGATTATAAACATTATCACAGATGGGATATACAAATTTCATAACTATCAACATTATCACATATGTGATGCACAAAGTTCATGACTATCAACATTATCACACAAGGGATATACAGAGTTCATGACTATCAACATTATCACATACGTGATGTACAAAGTTCATGACTATCAACATTATCACACAAGGGATATACAAAGTTCATGACTATCAACATTATCACACAAGGGATATACAAAGTTCATGACTATCAACAAAAAATTATTCAGATTTTGTAAAATTTGTAATAAATTACAATAATTCATTATTAATGTAGAAATATTGATGCAAAAATTAATATTCAATGGATTTAATAAAGAAACTCTAAATAAAATTATTAACATAATTTGTGATAAATATAAATACGTGTTAAATAAATACAAAGAAGTAAAAATCAAGGAGTTTTTGCTGAAAGTTTCTGATAAGTATTTTTAGTTTTTAATAAGGTCATTTAAACAACTTGGCACTACTTTTATGCAGATGAACACCTTATCAAATATAAAGGTTTGTGTAAAGTCTGAATATTGGTAGTTAAAGTGAACTTACTTACCCCCCAAGTGAAAGTACCTTATTTCATTTTTCTTTTACCTTAAAGAATAATCACCTTCCCACAACTGTCTACAGGCAGTGAAGGGTGATATAGATGTGGGTTTACTTTGGAGAGCAATCACCTTCCTAAAACTGTCTGCAGGCAATGAAGGATGATATAGATGTGAGTTTAGTTTGGAGAACAGTCACCTTCCCACAACTGTCTGCAGGCAGTGAAGAGTGTGGGCTTGAGCACCCACATCTCGCTCTCCTAACTTGAATTTCTTTTGATGATTTACTTGATTTTCATATTAATTTCTTCATGTGAGACTGGCAAATGGATGTTAAGACTTATAGATGGTGTATCCCCACTGCAATGCGAGTCTTACTTCCGCAGTCACCTCCAAAACCCAGGGCATATTTTATATCCCACATTATACCCTGGGGATTATTTTAATTCATGCAGCATCATAAACTTAATAATTAGGCTTGTTTTGTTCATTGAATTATCTGTGCCTCACTTAACCTCCATTACCCCAAATAATTGAGAGTTCACTGTATATGAAAATAATCCCATTCCTTCAAGTGTGACTTAACTGACATCAATATATTTTCACACAAGCTCCAAAGTTCCTTCAAGATAAAAGCAACTGATATAACAGTCCTGAGCAAGTTGTATACATATATATACCTCACAACTAATGAAATATAAATAACCTTAGTATTATAAGTGTTATATTATTCAAGTGGTATCTTTATTAGATTCTTAACACTCATGTAAAAGTACATTACATACACCAAATGTCATTTGAAGCAGCTGCCTAGAGGTCTAGGTCAATAGCTAAGTATATACCTAGGAAACAATTATCATCAGCACATTTGTCTTGAAGTTGTAAACGTTCTAAATTTATAGGGATGTTTAGCTATAATTATTTAATATATTTAATCAAATAATACCTACTGATACCACCACTTTTCAAGCATTTCATAAGATGCAAGTGAGTAACAATGATTTCTTAGTAGCATTGTATTACCTTATAACTGATTTTCTTGGAAAAACTAGAAGCTCCTTCTTTTTCTTCAGTAAATATAACTCCACCAAGTACACTTGCTTCATTGTTTAGATAAAAATCCAAAAGTTCTGGCTCAGATGAGAAAGCTGTAATATATCATTGAAATAAATAATTATAAAAAATTGAAACTGTAACAGAATATATAATGAAATGTTCTCACTAAAAGAATGAAAAAAAAGTGAGCCATGTGATAGCTAGTTTACTTGACCTATCAATATCATGATTTCACCTTCTATTTCTCCAACCCTAGTAACGGTCCACAAATGTTACAAAATAATGTATGTCATCAAATCACACTAAATGGAATTCTCAACATTTTGTTTTTTTAGATCTGACAGGGAAATAAATGATGAAAGAAAATTACATTCACTCAAGGGAAAGCTATCAATAATATTACATTCTCTCATGTAAAGTTGTATTTCCCAATGAATTGTTTTTTATTTAATCCATGCAATATATTCATTTTCATTGGTCATAACTAAAGGAATACAGATGGTCCATGCATTCCCGATCGAGAAAGCCAACTAAACTAACTGTACTAAGCAATAGGTTTATATAAATAGTTACGAAAACAAAAAAACCCATATCTATGTTAACATATCATCAATTTGAAACAGGTCATAAAATACTTTATGATAAAATTTGTCTCTTACACCAATCCAAAACTAAGAAAAAAATAGTTTGTTTAGAAACTACAGAAATCATCAAAGCAAATGATCTATCACTAAACCGTGATAATGGCTCTAGCAACATCAGCCATATTTGGCAAGGTCTATTCACTATTCATACAATTGACCTTTACCTGTATCTTGTCATCTAATAACATTATTTCCATTACATTTAATCTCTGTGTCTTTTGTCTTTCTAACGATATATATATAAACCCTGTATTGCTTAGTACAGATCATACCTGAATAAGATAGACCAGTGCTCTCTTGAAACGTGTAGTACATTCCACCATCAATAAAACACTTCATTAAACTTGCAAGTTGTTGTTTGTCTATCTATTATTAAGTGCAATTATACCATATTTGCAAAAATAAGTTTATATTTAAAGGTTAACTAGACCACCGTGACCCGTTGAGTCACCCACTATTCAGAGGTTATGAAAAATTCAATTTCATTTCAATATTGCACCGAAATGAAGGTTTATTTTGAGATAATTTAATTAAAGATTTCAATCCATTCATGTTATTCACAATTCAAGAAAAGATATTTGATTGTTGGAGTAAAATGAAAGACCATTTCATTTTTCAAAAAAGTGAAGTAAGAAGTTTCGTAAAGAGCACGAACGGTAGTGTGAGGTAAAATTAATCATGCTAGAAATTTTCATAAAATTGACCCGAAATTATTTCATATCACACGGTCTCTAATATACACCATAGTAACAGTTGGATAATGTCATTATTTCTTATCACACTGTCTCTAATATACACCATAGTAACAATTGGATAATGTCATTATTTCTTATCACACTGTCTCTAATATACACTATAGTAACAGTTGGGCCCATTGGGTCACCCACTATTCAGAGGTTATGAAGAATTCAAGCTAATTTCAATATTTAAAGAAACTTGTTTTATTCTGTTTCTATTCTCATTTCATTACAAATATGGCACTATTGCGTGCTGTTTTTGCTGTATTTAATTACAGACAAGCAGGCAAACAAACAATCTCAGAGTTTTAGTAA